TGTGTTGTGGCAATGTATGGATTGACCGTGCTGTTCCAAAACCTTGGCCCCCGAGATCTCCGGGCTTAACGTAACTTATTTTGTTATGGGGTTTTGCGGAAATGTGTTNGGGGGGGGGGGGTTGAAGCTAATCACTTACCTCCATGTCTTCCCAACGTCAATAGTACGTGGATTCTTCATTCAGTGCACTATGCCTCATTAAGCACTGGATAACTTTACATACAAGAACACCCACTGGTTAATACAGCGTGAAATAATTTCTTGTTTGAACAGAGTAAAGCTGCGAATTAAAAATTGTGGCGGATATTTTGAATTCTTAATAAATCGAAGGCACACCACATAAAATGTACGGTTACATTAATCTGATTTATAATCCCGGAAATTTCCTCTGTGCGCACCTAAAACATTTGTAGATCCTCAACGGCAGGAGATAGAACCGGTTACGCATTTAAATGATTAATTTGACATTGCGTCCTTTATCACCTTCAGAAGTACAGCAGACGGATTTTGAAACATCCCGTGTATAGTTGGCAATTTAAAGGAGCACCGAGCAGGTTGGCATAGGGGTAACGCTCTGGCATTCTTTTCGGTAAGTGCTGGGGCCGAGTTACTGCCGAGACATCGGTTTTCTGTCAGAGGTATTTGTTCCCTCTCACTCGTTCTAGGAAAATACAGGACAGTACCTCAATTAGACCATGATAGCTTCCTTCCAGATACTTTCCAATTCATCTGTCATCCTCTTATTCAACGCTTGGCATGTGACACTGAAAGCACCCTAAAATAAACCACAGATGAATCGACGTGGGATAGACCGACGTCATTGTTACAAACGACGCCGCACAGCGACAGAACCCTTATTGGTTAGACGGGGACATGAGCCCCAGACGGGGCTTGACACCAATGGGGCATATCTGACTGATTGTCCGTAGTAATGTGACGAGTCTGCAGTAATATAGCGAGTCCTGCAGACAGCGCAGCCGTGAACTCGAGCGTTATGGATCGGGCCGACTTGTTTGCAGGATCGTCCGACTCTTCCTCCCGAATGCGTCCTCACAAAATGAAATTCAGTGTATAACTAACTCCACGGAATACAGACCCTCCCAAGCAGCTGAAGGTTGCTCAGCTACTCAATAATTCCGCGGACCCATTTTAAGGAATCTGGAGTTTAATGTTCGTCTTCGCAAGATACCGCCATTGGTCAGTATTCCTAATCACCCTACTCCTTATATCCATTTTAATATTATACTTCCATCTTAACCTTGGTCTTCCAGTTTGTTCTTTCCTTTAGATTTTCTGACTAAAATTTTCTGCGCGTTTATGTTCTGTCGCACGGCTGCTGGACATCTCGCTCCATCTCGTCCTCCGACATTTGAGCACCCATACAATATTTGGTTAACATCTAGGCCAATGAGAGTTTCTCAGGTCCTGGACAACTCTCATACACGAAACTGAAGTAAAGTCCATCTACTGTACAAACCATGTTACGTCATACTTCGTGTAGGCAACCTTACGGAAGAAAAGTTCCCGTGTTTGAATTGCCCACCGACTCATGAGAGCTGCCATGGTCCTGAGCCGTGAGCAGTGTCTGCTGACATGCGCACCTCCTGGCCCTCATATGAATTGGATTCATGTGTACGTCACATGAGCTGAGTGGGGGAATTTAGGAACACTTGTGTAAACATTGCACTTACTTCAGTAAAATAACAGCAATGTTTGTTATGAAACTGACAGTATGCTATCCATTCGTTTACTTCTTTGCTGCAAGGTCCTATCGAGCAGGCTGATGTAGCGGCAACGCTCTGGACTTGTATTTCAGAAGTACTGGATTCGAATCTCGGGAAAGGACATCTGCTATCCTAATTGAGACTTTTACTGGTTTTCCTCAGTTCCCCCAGGCAAACTAACTAACTACCTGGAGAAGAGCCATTTTTGAGAAGCCGCCAGTTGCGCAGCTACTCAAAAATTTCCAAATATTTTGTGGAACCCGCAAAGACAGCTCTCTTCCAAATCCTTTCCAATTCACGATTAATCAGAGCTATCGGCACTACAGACAGCGCGGTAAAATAACCCATAAACCAAAGCCTGAGGAAGTAACATGTCCGCTTATCTTGCCATTAGCCATACAGACCCTGACCGCTGTTGGGGTTCAGTGTCGCTTATCGGATGACCGCTTAGGTAGTCAGCATGAGTCACTAGCTAAGTAAGTAAATAAGCAACGAGGGGAATAATTCAATATCTGGCTATCTAACTAAACAAGCAACTGCCTGATACATATGTGAAGCATTTTCCAGCATTTAATTTTGTTAAAAATCGTCATTAAATAAGCAACGTAAAAATCTATGGATCTGGTACTGCTGTCGACATCTGCTTGAAGTATGAAACTCAGTACATCTGTTCAGCACTTCACCACAGCACGTACTAGGTCTTCTCACTCTGCTGTTGTCTTCATCGTTTGTCGCCTGGTAAAGGCTTCTAACGTTATAGGTCCCTCAACTTCCATGTTCACGTTCGTACTGGCCGGCGACTATCTCGCAACTAACCAAACTCTAAACTTGTCCTGCTTATAACACTTCGACACGGACCGCACAGAAAACACCTCTCCCAGCAGTTCTTGTTGTTGCGTCATGTATCTGTCGCATGGACAGCGTAGAGAACATCTTTTCCCGATTAATCCTTTGGTGCGTGTTAGGAATCTGCTGCGGCGATTACTTAGCAACGGCCGCTGTGTACAAAGTCAGTATTTTGCAACGGTTTTACATGCTATAGTATGTATTTAGGCTGCAAGGTCGTCACTATTAAAGAAACTGATACAGACGTTTCGGAGGTGGAAGCTGTCTACATCATGAGGAAATTCATAATTTTCACTTCTCGTCGAATATCAATAAATCGATCAACTCGACGAAGATGCGATGGCGGAGCGTGTAATTCGCAGTGCATAGTTTGAACGTTAAAGTATAAATATATTGTGACGTGCTGCCTGAAAACTGGATTATAAGACGTCCATCACTAGTTAACGGCTAGCAATTCCGAGGCAGCGATGCCTAAGAAATCGTTGCCCCGGAAATGAAAGTCTAACAGTTGGGGTTTCACCGTTATTTACAAACGAATTGTTTGAGGCAGACACACATTCCCGCGTTCGTTGCATAGCAGCAGGCGAAGTCAACCCTTCGGCAAGGTATTCCCTATTCAGTCCGAGTGCAGGATATAACACTTCGCATCCGACAATAGCTAAGGACAGTTGAGCTCCGAGCATAGCAGAAGACAGTTCATCAAGATCAGCGGAGCAAGTATTTGTAACATTGAAGAAGAAACGTCTAAAGGGCGTTATAAGTGGAATAATTGTACTTGTGAGTGTAAAAAGTTCATATCCAATAAAAATATTCGTTCAAATCCGAGACCCATGCAATTTCTTGTCGCGTTTCCTAGGAAACGCGACAATATAAAATAGGTAGGGGTTACAACGGAAAGGTGACTTACAATGAACTGACTTTATCTAAAGTCACGTGTAATTATTTTTCAAGTTCTGGACCCTTATCAGCTTCAAGAAAGAACTTGTGTGTTTCAAGACCATCTACCGCACATGCGTTTTTCCTGGTGTCCCACATGCCATGTAGCTGTTTGCCTTCTTTATGCCTGCGTCAGCCACTTACCTTGTCACGGATTAGGCTTATCTGTATTTGCGTGTGTGTGGTTTATTTGAAAACACTGTCAGGTAGTTCAACCTGTATAGCGTATAATGCTAGGATGAGAAGACGTGGAAAGAAGCGGTCATCTTCTAACTGACGATGGGATCCCGGCATTTGCCTGAAAGTAGCGAAGAAAAACAGGAAAAACTGAGGCAGGACTTTCGGTGCGTGAGCAGAGGTTTGAACCCCGTTATCTGGTGTCATCAGTATCTCCGCGCAGCATAAATCTCTCGGCTGCTTTACGAATTTGGATTTCTTTTATCTTTGTTGGATTACATTTGTGATTTCTGACGTGAATAAATTAGCGATATTTTTTTTGGCGTCGTTTGAAGAAACTCAGTCACAGAGTCCAAAATATAATGAATAACAACATGGAACCGAAAATATTGTCACATAATTCAGTGACTGTAGGCAGGGTTTGGATTGGTAATAAAATTTATTGAACACTTACACTACAAATAACTACGGCATTCTTAGATACACACTTCAAAAATCACTGTAATCACAGCACACATAGTCTTCTCAATCTTCACTAGCCGTTGCTTGGTGGCGGCTTCCAACAACGGACGTTTCTCTTCCTCTCGGTTACCGAACTGTCCCCGGTATCAGCTACCACACAATTCTCAACTGATTCAGCAATAACTCAAAGTCAAAGTTATGTTACGGCCTACGGTCAGTCGGCCAGTCTGTCTTGATGTCAAGCCCCCATCTGCGCCCAAAGACCAGATTTTTATTACTGTCCAACAGTTGCAGGTTTGTTGATATGGGGCGCCTTCTCTGACGAGAGGACGGGTCTGTCGTTTACAATTGTTGCTGGCACTTGCCAGCGCAGTCATTCTCGGATTTAAACCACACGGGACTCGTGATCGTATTTTACTGTCTCAGATTCGAGCCTCCCCCAACCTATAAGGCCACAGTCCCGCGTTTATATCTTCCAGGAACAATGTGGCCCAGTTACACCCCCGGGCACTAGGATCCGTTTAAGTCGCCTCTTACGACTCGCAGGGCTGCGGTGAAGGTATTCGAACCCTCCTCCAAACGGGCTACCCTGAAATACTAGTCTTCGTTATATAGCCCCGGCATGGACCACACAGAAAACGTCTCTTCCTTTATTGCATTTTCTCTTGTTGCCGGGAAAACAATGTGTTCACAGAGCTGTTCCCAAGCAACGGCTGTTGTACTGTCGCCTGTTTCCACGGCTGCCACTTGGCAATGGGTCTTCATGCCACAATGTCTTTGTAACAATAAATCCTCCTTATTCAACATTTACAGACTGTCAGGATGCAACTGTATCTACAATAACACTAATGTATAAAAGCTGGGAAAGTACAGAATAATTTGTTACTACAGAACAAAATCCTGATCATGAAGATTATCACGTTTTCGTCTGTCGTGTTGGCTGTTCTGCTGTTTGTCTGTACGTACCAAGTTTACTTGATAATCTGCGTATAATTGGTGCAAGCAGGTTAGTTCATGTAGCCAGGTAGAAGTTTACTGACGTTCTGGAGGAACTTGCTCTTTACACCTTAGCGGTCTCAGATTAAGCCAAGCAAGCAAAAGCAAGTAGACTACTCTGTTTGTTGATTGTTTCTTACTGGTTGTTTATAAGAATGTGCTACAGAGGGCCGGATGGGCATCCCCTAGGCCATTAGACATTATGAGCATTATGACGTCAGTTGGGTCCGGTCCAGAGATGGGGCCTAGCTCTATCTATTGGACCCACCTGAGTAGGTTACCCCTGAGGACGGGGATAGAATCCAGTCTCCGAAACGTTGTCTTCAAAAAGAAACAGGACGGTTTTAAAAAAAAAATAGAAAAGGCGATGGATAATGTCCAAAAACATAATACCTGTAGCAATATACCATCATCGCACAATTTTAGAGATAATATATCCTGTTTAATGGACACTGGCATATATTCCTTATCACCTTTTCATTTGCATGTTCTTGCCCAATCGTTCCCTCCCTTCATCTCTTGCCCTCTCCAATCCTGTATTCTATTAGCTTGGTACGTCATTTTCGAGATTGGAACATAACCAGGGCCTGAGCACTGCTCATTAGTCCCGGTATACACGAATTTGTTGGTTCACATTAGATAGTATGTCTTGTGAACCACTGTAGACAAGGACAGCAGAGTTTTGGTTCTCTGGTTGAGAGTTTCATAATCTGAAAAGGTGATTTGGTGAGCCTCCAAAGCAAGTTTAGTCTTGATAAATGTAAATCAGGAGGGCTGTATGAGGAGCAGGCAATAGCAGTTTGGGACTTGGGGGCCATCTCAAGTATGTGCTTGAAAATAGAGGAAAGCCAAGGCAATGTGTGCCAAGATGGTCGGACCCTCAACATAAACAAAGACTTCTAGCCAGCCCTCTGGCAACTAAAGGGTGTACAGGAGATTGCCTGAGGGTACCCTAACAAGTGTGTTGTTACTTTACTGTTGTCAAAAACATAAATGCACTTGTAACAACACAGTGCTGATGAGATGGATGAGAAAATATCTGAAAAAGGTTCCATTTGTTAAAAGGTATTTCTGAACATTGTGTGCCTTTGCTTCCAGTCTCCAGGACATGCAGTGCAGCAGACTGCACCGTGGAGGATGACCGTAACCAGCCGTGTGACAAGGCCTGTCCAGAGAACACGCAGTGCAGATGTATCACGCCCGCAAATGTGCGCTGTTTTGCTCCTCCTTGCTTGTTTAAAGTCTGTGTTGCAGACGACTGATCACTTGTAGGGTCCTGCTCTTGTGAGTTCATAATAAAGACTCATCTCTAGATGTTACATCTTACACTGAAGCCAATGCATTTCCGGAAGATTACAGTCTCCTGAGATGTGATGGAGTTTAGTCCGATACATCCCAGGAACCAGGATACATATGCCTCCATCTTCCAACAAGAGCAGTTCAGGATTTGAGGGCATTCAGCAAAATAGACTCCGTGTAGAACAGTCATGTTCAGCCTTTGACATTTCATGTCTCATCACAGCAAAAACAAAGTTTCTCTTTTCAAAAAAGTGTATTGTTACATTCATGAACATTTTAATACATATATTGTTAAGGATTGATGGAAGTCCAAAAGTTCTTAAATAATTGTAACAATTTTTGTTAATATGTTCTGTTACCATAATTATACAAAAGCAACATAGTTCTGTTTACAGGAATATAAATATAATGCAACATTAATGAGAAGCTTGTTCTAAGACTGCAGAATAGTTTTGTGTGATTGAATTTTATATCACTGATTTCATTATTATTTTCAAGAATTCATATCCCACCCAGCTGACCACCAAATTTTGCATCCCACTGGTTGAGAAATGTTACCACTGAGGACTCTTCTGCCGTGCAGAGGCAGCAGTTTTCTTTAAAGTTGGTAACACTCTATCAGACTACACAAAGTCACATCCAGGAGACAATAATTTTCATAATAACAGTCTTGAGAACCTCAGATCTTCAACAGTGCTCGTAACTTCCTCCCTCAACCCACTGTCTGTAGTCCATATTCATGTCCATGTTCTGCAGACCGGATGGCACCTACTGCTTCCTTCCACATCATTGCCAATTATTAATTCACCTACCACTCTGGAACATTGCATTTCTCCACCTTTTCACATATTAACTAAAATCTGGGCAAGCCAATTGCTCTGCTTGCTACCTGCTCCACGTTGGTTCCTTGCTTCGTTTATTGTTAGAATTTCAACATGGAAGCGACATGATCCTCTGAAACGTCAGCTGACTTTCAACAGACCAGGTGGCATTATATCCCACATGACAGAACTCTTCAAAACAATACAATATTTTTACAAATGGTGGAAAATAATTTTGGAGATACTTTAAATCAAGATCTCCAAAACTTAGTACTGCACACCAGAATTGCCGTAGTGTGCTCACGGCCCCTCTGAACTCCTTCCTACCTAAGGCAAAAAGGCAACACAGATACCTCCTCCCACTCTCTCAACCCCTCTCTGCCATGGCAATCCTGACAGACAGTAACATATTACTGCATATATTTGGCACATGATGAGCAGTTAATGTTATATATTTTAAACATGTACTTCCTGAACCAATATATTTACTGTGAGCAGTCTGAATGGTTTTAAAATATTTCACATTCAAAGATCCAGTTACACATGCATGCATAGGTGCTGAATAAGATTCTCCCCTAATGAGAATCCCACTCCGCACATCTCACAATGCAAAGATTCTTCTTCAGTATGAGTTCTGCCATGTCTGACAAGGCTCGCATTGTTTGAAAACGCTTTGCCACATATTTCACACAAGGACTTCTCTCCTGAGTGAATCCGACTGTGTCTGATAATGCTAGCTGAATGCGAGAATCGTTTCCCACATACATTACAAGTATAAGGTTTATCCCCGGTGTGTGTTCGATGATGAACTGAGAGAGTACCACTGGATGAAAATTCTAGCCCGCAAATATCACACTTGTAAGGTTTATGACCTGTGTGTGTCCGACGATGAGAAAGTAGATTTCCACTGCCTGAAAATACTTTGCTGCAATATTCACACTTGTAAGGCTTCTCTCCAGTATGTGTTCGACTGTGCTTCACTAGGTGTGAGCGTTGTGAAAATCCAGTACCACATATGTCACATTTAAATGGCCTATCTCCAGTGTGTATACGTCTGTGACTTAACATGTTTCCACTTGCAGCAAATGCCTTTCCACAAAGGTCACATGTAAATGCTTTTTCACCAGTGTGTATGCGGCGATGTTTTCGAAGAACTCCACTATCTGAAAAACCTTTTCCACATAGTTCACATTTATGAGGTCTATCACCAGTGTGCTTTCGGTGATGTATCATCAGATCCTGTTTGCATGAGAAACCTTTAGCACAGAACTCACATGTGTGGTGTTTCTCTCCAGTATGTATACTTTCATGTCTTAATAGGCTTATTTTCACCATGAAATCTTTCCCACAGATGTCACACTTGAATGGCTTGTCTCCTGTGCGTGTAAGTCGATGATTTATGAAATTCCTACTTCCTCTTGAGAATTCCTTTCTGCTTATAGCACATTTGTATCTCTTTTCATCAGTGTGCACATGTTCCACAGGGTCACAATCCTGGGCAATCGCCATCCTGCCAGGTCCATCAGATGCATGTGTTACAGAATTGTCATAGTTTGGAAGAATCTTTGTATGGTCCAGCAAAGAACTTTCTTCCATTTCACTGCTGAAGTTGTTGACACTGCAACAGACACATGATGCTTCATTTGTGTATGTGTTGCACACCAGAACATTACAGGCTACCAGTAAATTCAATAGAATCTTGCTGTTCCACAAGAGTTTCTCAATGTATTGGCCAATAACCTCTGGCATCTGTTTTCAACATTAACTCCAACTGAAAAAAGAAATTCTGTTGCAATGACAGTCAGGAGGTTTCCAAAAGTATATTAACCCTTCCCATGCCACATACTTACTAGACTGACTGAATACTTGCATTAGGGCCACCACAGTCAGAGAGATTAGTTCATTGTCAGTCAGCAAGTATAGTATTTCTGCAAACAGATGGCATAATGTGTGACAAATTTTGAGCTTTAGAAGTAAATATTTATCTGTCTGTTTGAAGGTCATATGTAGAGAGTATTGTGTGTTTAAGTGCACAACTGAATTTACCATCAGTCACCACTAACATTCTTTTGTTAGCAGGCAGTTCTACAGGGGGACTTGGAAGCCAAAGGGCACTAGTGCAAAACACCCTTCAAGTGTCAATGACAATAAGTGGGAATACTCATCTGCTACTTCAAATATCTTGACAGTTTTTAATAATGGGTGAAAAATATGGGTCAGTAATTCCAAAACAAGTCCTTAATTTTATCCTCATTTGCCATAATTCTGTACACTCAAGAAGCTAAATTATTCTGTAAAAGTTCTGAGATTTTAATTCCAGTGACTGTTCTAATTGTGGTCTTCTGGACTATGACACTGTGTAGTCTCATAGATGAACACCAATATTTTACACAAACATACTGCTTCCAACTTCATGATTTAAGTGTGTACCCTTACAAACTGCTACCCTGAAGACAGACAACAGTGTCTGGAGCACACAAGTCACACTGCAGAGCTAAATGATGAAATCAGAAGTGGTCAGTGGACTGAACCAATGGGGTGCCAAGATGCACACAACACCCATACAGTTAGAAAGCACATACATAGTGATAGCAATGTATTACAACCTATACCCAAGACAACATATCACATATTCATTTAACACATCGTAACAGCCCTAAGATTTAATACAACACAACTCTGGGAGAAATAATTTCCACATAGTGACAGGCTAAAAACAATGTGGATTCACACTGAACTATCACACATCAGAACTTCAATTCTACAGGAGGAATTTTTTAACTTTATATTTCTGTAATTTTTATAATATTGCTCTAATATATTTAGTTATTTTATTTGTGTAACATGTAATTCTTTATTCATATTGCTAAAATTCTATATTCTTAATATAAAATATCTTTTAACTTATTTAATTACCTTTGATATAACATTATCCACCAACATTTTTAAATACAAATTTTTTGTATACCTTCTGATATTTTGATAATGGTAATATTGCAATTCTCATCATACACAAGGCATAACTCCTACATTTTTTTATAACTTTTATAATACAGCCATACTGAGAGTTCAGTTAACCTTGTATTATATAATACTGCCTGATGATGGTCCTATGATGACCAAAACATGTAGAGGTAAGCAGCAGAATTCAATTTATGACATATTGATTGATTGTAAAATCATTTTTTGTTGTGTTGATGGATAACCTTACCTAACCTTACGTTTGTGACATGCAACAGGATGCACAATGAAAATAATATTTACATACTTTGGAATCAACATTTAAACACTCAACCGCTTTCCTGTGATTTTTGAAGTGTTGAATTTATTTGGCTGAACTGCTCAAAAGTGGGAAAAGAAACATGGAAATAATAGGATAGGTGACTTCATGAGCAACAAACTTAATCATTACTTTATACACTGCTTAGCATGTATGAATGGCCAAGGGATGTAACGAAGTGGTTACCATTCCTTGGGTCATTTCAGGAAGTCCCAGCTGCAATACAATACCCTGGCTCCTCTGTAGATTTCCACAGTCCATATTGGCCAAAACTGTACAATTCATCATTTACTTATCCAACTTGTGAATGCTAACTAACTTATACAGTTAACAGGTATCTTTAAGAATGCACAAATCAATGATTTACTCACTCTTCTTAGATCCAATGCTCAATATCCCTGTAAGATGCCTAACCAACCCCATTCCTAACCCTACACAATTCAACCTTGAAGATTGAGGCAGAATATTCTTCCAAAATGTTGGTACCCACCCACAAAACTACATGGTGTCACATTGCAGGGGACTACAATCTTAAGAGATCTTTGGGTTCTCTTAACGATGGNTCATTTCAATTATCCCATTTTTTTAAGTGAAAATATAAATATAATCATTAAAGACAATACAGGCCTAGTTTTTCTGATGTTGGTAAACTTACATGACATTGTGTTCCTCTGTTAAGTCTTCTTCCTTTATTGTGGTACTGTCACATGACTCCTCCTGCTGTGAAGCAAACTGATTAGAAATGAACAAAACTATAGATTTTTGTGAGCATATATCTAGAAATATAAACAAATATGGACAATAATGCTAATGTTAAATATTAACTACATAATATGTGTTACATAAAGAAGGCTTAGAATCAATAATGTCAAAATAAATAGTCATAAAGTCCATATACTTGAAAGTTATTCTGAGCAAAACCAAATGCTTGTCTGACTTACATCTGTGACCACCTCATTGCTTTCTGGTTTGAAATCTTAAATTGTTTATTCTATATTAATTTTTGTAACATTTCTACATAATAAACAGCCACATTGCATTATGATCAGACTTTTTGGTGACCAACTGGATTTTCATTCCCCACAACAGACCTTGGGCCTACCTAATGTTCTATGCATATTGTAACAGGGGCTCCTGTCCCAGATGTAAGTTGGTCAACATGTCAAGCTGACTCCTGATCATCTTCTAGTGCTATGGCTAAGAATGCATGGAGCTATACCTCCATAACCCAAACACCTTGACTGTGTACTGCTTAATTAAGCACAGAAACAACTTTTTGTTATTATTCAGTTAGGGCACTAAATAATAACAAAAGGAGAACTATGAAGTTGGGCTGTGAACTGGATTCATCTGGCTCAGGGACCAGTGGTGGCCTCTTGTGAACACAGTATTGTGCCCTTAAGTTCCATAAAATGCAGGAATTTCCTGAGTGGCTGGACAACTGTTTTTTTCTCAAGTAGGACTCAGTTCCATGGAGTTTGTAAGTTAGTTACTGTTAGTTATGGCATCCACAAATTATCACTCTTTTTTAAGTAGTACTGTATCCTCTCCAAGTGGTAGACTTCTCAAATACCCTGACTTTCAGTCTGGGAAAGTTTTTTTGAAAAAAGTAGTGTTAAGCAACAATTAAAACATAGAAATTTGTGCAGGAATGCTTCTATAAAAATGAAATACAGTCAGGTTTTCTGTAAGCACACCAGTAAGGCAACAGGCAGACACTTGTCCCATAAAATCAGGCCAAACAGCAACACATTCTGCCACTAAACTTCTTTCAAGAGTGATCCAGAAAGCAGCACTACAATAAGAAGGAGCTCACCTTTATTTCACTCTTTAAAAATATCGTGGGGAAAGGATATAGCACTTGCTGAGTCAGATTGTTTTCAGAAACAGCAGACATGGGATGGTCATCGGCTATATCTTCCATGCTGCCAGAAAAAATTACATCAGTCACACATTGTATATTTTGAGAACCAGAGGTGTTGTATACAGATCTGATGCAAGGCAAAGGAAATTGTGTATACTGATCCTTCCACTCCACAGCTTCTTTTGTTGCCATTAATTCCAATTATCTTATTATTTTTCAGCATCATAGATTACGTTTATTATGAGGCATTCAGTCAGCTCAACTGATCTTCACTCTTCACAGCATTGTGTTTCATGACTTACAACACACCAGAAGATGTGGTAATTACTGCATCATCACCACTTGGTTCCAGTTTGATTACTCCCATGTTATCCTACAACAAATAAAATATTTCCTTTCTTTTTGGCTCTTAAACTAAGTGTTGGTAACTTATCTAACTTGGCATACGGAAACGGCTTCGTATTCAATATGGTTACTATATGCCTTTCATAATTCAAATAGGGTCTCGTTCTGCTATTTTCCGAGATCACATCCTAAATTTGTGCCTAAATTCACGTACAAATGTTCCGGAAATTACTTCACTGTTTAAGAGTATTTTGCCCTGGGATGTGATGCCATCTAGCCTGGTATAAATTTACCGACGTTTCGGTGGAACGTACTACTTCCGTCTTCAAATCCTAAGAGTAAGCCAAGCAAACAGGAACTCTTCAACCTATTGTATGTGTATTTTCTGCAATCTGTATTTCCTTTTAACAATTTTGTGTGTTTTTTTGACAAGTATGGATTATATATGCTAGTGATTTTGTTTGTGAATGTACAAGTTTCCAATGTCTTGTTGGCTTGTTGACATGTTTTATATTCTGTGCCTGTGCACATTTGTGAATAATCTGAAACGCAAATGTATTAAAAAAAAAAACCCTCGTGACAGTGGTAGTAGATTCTTCTGAAACATCAGTGAACATCTTATGGCTTGTTTTGGCTTGTTTTGGACTTCATCCATCGTCTGGTATGTAAAAGACAAAAGACCACAACGTTTCGGAGACTGGATCTGCCTCCGTCCTCAGGTGGGTAGGGCAGGATAAACCTACTCAGTTGGGCCCGTTAGAAAGAGCTATTCTCAATCACTGGGATAAACCTACTCAGTATACACCATCGTCAGAATCCTTTCAAGTCTATATCAGTAAACTTATACGACACTACACGGCGTCAAATCCCACTATAGTATTCTTCCCTAATAGCGGCGTCCAATAAACCACAAAATCCAGGCTTAATCTCATAGTCACCGGCATGGGGATCGTAAATGCCACACACTTTACTGGTATTGAGATGCCGGATCACAAATATTGTTTAAAATCTTTAATGTGCAGTGCAATTAATGCTGTTATGTTTTCATCCATTTTCAAATCACTTGCCAATTACGAAATTTAATAAAACGTATTGTTAGGAAACTCAATTTTTGCATTCATATAAACAGGCCTTCTCGCAAACAAAACATGCATATTGTAATAAAATACATGATCCAGGAGGTTTTGAATTCTTCGTTCAAACAAAGTGCAAGAGAAAGATTGCGTACTATTTAATTTTTCACTAAGGTTAATCATTTAATTCATTTGTGCAGCGAATGAAAATATTTCTGCGAATACTTCTGCAGAACAACTTTAAACAGTAAACCAGAACCACTTTTGCTGAATTTGCTGGTGTGAGGGTTGTCTGCATGTAGGATATTTTCAGTGCCTCTTGTAATCTGTGAATTGTGACTACTGCATTTCAAACATTATGGCCCATGCGGCTTACTGAATCAGAAAAATAATTAGGAAATTCGCACCCTCTTCACAGCAGGCGTTGGGTTGGTTGGTTAGAAGTACAGCTCTGTGGACGCATTTAAAGTTACGAAGTTCTCTGCACAAGACAAAACCTGTAGTCCCAAGTAAGTAGTACAACATTCTGAGATAAGTCACGGTAATTTATCGTGTACTGTTGTCACACCATACAGCATTAAGGAGAGTACGTCTGTTGCCCCATCCTTGAAAAGTACACAGTTGCCATATAAATATTTGTTAATGACAAAATATGAAAGCATGGTATGGTTTACAGTGCTGTGAAGTTCATTCGACTTGGATAAAAATGTTTTAATTAGTAACTATAAAGTTAATGTATGTTTTTGAATGAGGGATCAGAGAAGCAGTTGTGTGCAGACCATGGGTTTGTAGTACAATAATGAAGAAAAGAGGTGCTGAAGTCTTCTGAGGCAATCAGCCATGACAGTGTTGATTTAAAAACAAATGCTAAAACAGTGCTGAATTCATACATGTGAAACAGAAATGTTGGAGTTTTGTGCTCGTAACATCTTATGGCTTTAAGCATGTTGTTTGGACAGTGGCTCTGATTTGAAGATTTTACTTGTGGTATCTGATGTGTTGTACATGATAATTAGCGGGGTTAACTTAACAAAAATAACATGTTAAGTTGTAAGGCTGTTGAGTTTAAATAATACATTCATAAGACACTATTTGATTTTGTCAACATATAAACATTATATACATTCTTCAAATTTTCCCTTTGTCATGTTTTCTAAATTTATATGTTGCTTTCACATAATGAAAGTGAAATTTCTGTAATTTATTTACATTTTGTCAGCCATTTCAGTATGGATTTGTTTAAACTTTGGTGAGGAATGAGTGTGTGTGTGTGTGTGTTCATATGTATCCCTTTGCACCCCACTAGCATTTCGGACACTTTACTCATATTCCATTTCCAGTGAAGGTCAGACTACAGGACCATGCTGCTTCCATTAGTACTATACCATTACATTGATTGTATCTTCATAAGTTAGTAGCAGGAAATCTCTAAGGTGTCAAAACAAACGTAAATTGTAAAGCATACTAAATGCTATGTTCTTTCAGAAAAAATTACATATTTGAAACATGTCAGGTGGTCTAGTGGTTAACATGCATGCCACTGGACCCAAGAATGACATGCTTATTTTGAAGGTACCTGACTTCATTTATTGTTAAATGGAGGGAAAAAAATACCCATCCCAGCATTTAGTGGATTAAAATGTCAAAGATTCATGACAATTTTCACATTTCTGCCATCCTGATTTTGGTGGGCTGTTACAGTCAGCTGGTGACACAAATGACATGAGTTGGAATGGAACATATATGGTACATTCACAATTGTGATGAAACCCATTTGGAAAGAAAATAGATTGTATATTGTATGCTGCTTGTAAATAGTAACTTTATTTTCTTGAAAAGCCTATATTCTAAGATGTAACACATCTGCTTGCTGTGTCCTTCATGCTGGTTTCCTTGGTTTATTCTTTGACCCTGAAGATGGAGGTGACATGTATGTTTACTTTCAGCAGACTGCTTCCACCAGAATGACATACATATAGACTGCAGCACCTGCTGGTTACAGGTAGTACAAATTCTGCCAGTATGTGGGACTGCTAACTGTAATATTCAACTTTTTTCACGGGAGATGGGGAAGCTGGTTTAGAAGAGCTTGAAACTTGTATTTCCCCATCCTCAGTATACCGTGTTTGTACTTGTGGGTGAGTCCCAGAAGCAGAGCACCGATCAAATTAATGCCAACATTCATAACAGGCAATGCAAATCTTCACCACCATAAAAACCTCAAATGTGATATTTTCTTCTTTCAGAATGCCATTTCCCAGATGTCCAGATCAACTTAGTGACCTTGCAATAGATGCGTTTGTAAAGTATGTGGCAGGACTGCCAACACGTCTAGTAGCTTTGTCACGGCTCACAAAGATCAAGGAATTTAAGCAGAATATCCAAGAAATGTGCAGGTGCCTGGCTGTGATGATCCAGAATGCAGTGCCACCGGTTCTCGCCAGGGAAGTGACAATCAAAGTACTGCAAGCTCTGAACGACACATTCCTAGAAATGAAAACCACAGCAAATTCGAAATGGCTGCACAGAATCATGCCAGAAGTAGCATTCGCTGTTATACATCCGACGGTTACGAGTCTGGAATGTTTTGAAGAAAAGCTGCATCCTACTACTATAGATTATTACAAACTTCGTAGATCTGATCTCATTTTTCATGATTTGCACAAAATGAAGAATCTGAAAGTGCTAAATTTGGTAAAATGGCATAAAAGAGGCCTAAATGACCAGGATATTACAGGCAATTTGGAACGAGTTTCGTTTCACGGATGTCATGATTGCGATTTGGAAGTTCTCTCCAGATGCTGCAAGGATTTGAAAAGCCTTGACATCAGCTACTCTTCGCAAGTGACAAATCGATCTGTGGACTCCATTCTGAGGTTTCAACATTTGGAAGAATTAACAATACACTCAACGTCGATAACTAGGAGAGGCCAGAGGAAAATGTTGAGAAGATTTGCTGAAATGAGGATGTTGGGTAATGATGAATCATCTCCTTCTGCATTCCTGAAGAGATTTGCTTGCCAAAACCCAAGAGACACGCACATATGGCTGCTGACCGAAACATTCCAAAATCTCACATCACTCTCAGTGACTCGAATTAGGAACTGTAATTTGAATGCTCTGAAAAGGCTGAAACATCTGTCAGCATTGACTCTCAAACATGGGGACTTCAGTCATGTGGAAGAACTTCTTGCAGCTATTGGCAGACAGCTTATTTCCTTGCATCTTGAGCTCATTGAAGACCTTAACTTCATGTTTATTGTTCGTACATGTATATCAGTACGTTGTCTCGGCCTTCTTTTGTACACTGAATTCCCACCGAGTGGAAGTTGCTCAGAACACTTCAGTGGCGTGGCTGCTCTTGAATATCCTTCTGTTCGCTGTCTTCATATTGGTTTCAAAGGCAGGCATAGCTGTGACAGTGCCTTGTCCTATTTTGTGAACTTGAAAAAATTGTACGTAAATTGCGCTATGAATTCGCGGTTGTTCGGTAAGATACTTACGCGTGAAGAACTCAAGTACTTGGAAGAATTCGTCTGGCATAGGCCAGAAACGCACACTGATGCCCTGGTGCAGTTTTCTGAACAGTGCTCTGCTATTTATTTGTTTGGTTATAACAATAAGAGATCCAGTTTCAGAAAGTACATTGTTTCTAATGAGTATATATGTATTCATTCGGAACGATATTTCCGACACATATGTGAAACACAACTGTAGAATCAAATTTTGTCACCTGCGTTGTGCTTCCATTCATATAGACGAATTACTTTTTGTAACTGTATCACAAATTGTTTTTACAACCGTAATACAAAGTAACAAAAGTACTGAAATTAGGTATGCAGGAAGACTGCTCTGGTATGCGATGTAACGCTGTGTAGTCTGGTGTATAGCCGATTACTCAGCCCAAAAACTAGAAGGCCTTAGTGAGCCCATGGCCAAGCATAGCAAACAGTGAAGTGGAGTGTACAAAATCAGATAAAACCTGTGATCCTTTTGCGATTCAATCGACTACTTCATAAAAATTAAAAAAAAAAATGAAAATGAGGGACTTAAAGACTTACTGGTCAATTTTGTAGCGGAATTCCGACAAGATAATGCTAAACTTAAGGGGGAGACAGCGGGACTACAAGAAGAACGTGAAACTTCAGGAAATAAAATTCAGAAGAACTTAAAATCAGATAATGCCAAATATAAAGAGGACAAAAATTAAAAATTCGGGAGAACATAAAATCAAAATTTTGCATGAGAAATAAAATCCAACAGTGGTAAATTTTAAGAGTTACATGATAAGATAAATTCTAGCAGTAGAGACTTACAGGTGAAATTCGAATAAAAAAGAATTTAAAGGGTAAAATCAACCAGGTGCAAAAAGGAATAAGAGAGGAGGTTAAGCAGGAAGCAGACAAACTCAACCTCAAAGTCGAGGAGAAAAATAAACTTAGTCAGCAATTTTCCACTAGGCTACATACCCAGCAAAGCAAAGTAATTCGACTACTCAAGCAAGTAAGTCAGGAAACAGAGGCTGAGTTAGTAGAAACTAAAAAGCAAATAGAATTTGCTTTGAGTAAAGTCAAAAACAAGCTAGAAATTCACGAACAGATAATAGAAAGTAATACAAACAAGCTGGACAGTTTAAATATAGAGGTGTATCAGATCAAAAATGCTGTGAAAGAAACCTTTGACTTAGGTTTAAGGGATTAGGGGAGAGAGATGAGCTGATCCAGTCTCAGCTACAAAAGGATTTCGAGAAACAGCTTGAAGTAATCGACCTAGATATTAATAAGTTAAAAAGTAAAATTCTGCAAAAAAACTGTGACCATCTTTGCTTGCTCCTCAATCCGCCACCCCTAGTAATAATTCAGAGTTTGCAATTTCATGTAATTGCCAAAACAATGCTTACAATACATGTAAAACAACACTGCATCAACTTGTTGCCATTAGTGGGTTAAACAGTTCTGATGTCGTACTTCCCTTGTTTAACAAAAATTCAGAAGTGAATCCCGTCTTTCATTTGAAAAGACTAGACAAGTTTTTTAAACTTAGGGGTGTATCTCAAATGTATCATCTGACAGTATCCTGCAGGTCTGTAGTAGAAAAATTAAGTCGACAATGGCTTGAAGCCATTTCCAACAAACTCACAGACTATGAAATCTTCAGAAATGCCTTTTTAAGCAGTTGGTGGTCTGCAGCCCAACAAAGTTTAGTGAAATGCAGTATTTACTGGACAAAATACGATCGCAGATCGAAATTGTCTTACTCAGGTCATTTCCTGAAGTACATGACTTTAGCCTTCCACCTTGAACCCAAGGGGCCCAACTGAGTAGGTGTCTTCCTTTCTCACCTGAAGACGGAACCATCCAGTTTCAGAAATGCCATGTCCTCTCTTACCTAAAATTCCAGATGATGGAACAAGTCCAAACCCCCAGTAATTCTGTGTGTCATCCACCATCATCAGAACCCTTTAGAATCTACTTGAAGTTTCGCGCTCAAGTAACTTCGTAACATTCATAACTGTGCTTTGCACCGACGGGATTGATATGACACCAACAGACATTTAGGTGGACAGTTATCAGATGTATAAATATGGTAGCTATATTGCTCATTTTATACATATATTGCCGAAAAAGTTATCATGCTGCTGGGTGTTACCCTTTATAGCAAATAATTCTGTCACACCGTAAGGGTTTGTTTGTACATAGCAGTATTTTGTTTTATGACCATGAAGGCCATGAAGTTTTAGTTCTGGAGGTTTGTACTGCGATTATGGAAGGTGTAGAGCGTGTAGAGTTGGAGTAGGCGCGGTAAGGACGTTATCACATAATAACCAGTGCACAGATTACAATCCAGCTGAAGAGCTAGGTGTATTTGTAGTCAAAAACTGCTCAACTTAATAAAACCTCGAGTGGTTTCTTCAGAGAGACGAAATAGATGTAATTTAACGGAGTGTAATCAATTTAACCTTAAATATGCCAGGGTTGCAGGCATTCTATTCTACATAATCGGCTTTTATATTTTACCGCATATGATGAATGCACTTCTGTAACCTCCAGTGTCTAATTACGTCAGTAATTGTAAATACATATATACAAGTATATATATTTCTTTTTTTGCTATCATGATAATTCGTTCGTTGATAGCTTCATAATGTACGAAGCAATAAAGAACAAAATAACGGAAATTATCAAAACATGGGTATGCTACAGTTATATTACATGAAGAATGATAATTACGTATGTTACGGAATGGATTCGTAACAGCAATTGTCATGCCACTTTATTTATGGATCTGAGGTTCTCACAGCAGACATGAGGAATGGCTTATAGTATACAATGCCATATACTGCAGTTAAAATAAGTTACTGTTTGTTGACTTTTGCTAGACTACACAGCATTATGTTGTATAAGTCTCTGTGAGACTTTGTTGTTTAAAAACGTTATTCAAACTACAGTAAAACCCACCTTTTGAATACAGGACCCCCTTTAATTGACAGTATTAAAGACTATTATACAAGTATATTTAAGAAAATTGCAATTGTCAATGCTTTTAGGTATAGGCCACATCACACTGAAAGGCAATGCTCATAAGATTACTGAAGAAATGGAGAGGATACAGACACCGATTTGTACCCTGGATTGTTCTGAACCTCAAAAACAGGTACACATGTTTGTGCTAGAAAGTGGTTTGATTCACACTCCTTTGTGACCTTGGCTGAAATCACATTTACTTCCCATTGGTTTTCCTCCGTTCATTTGCATGTGTTCACTCAGTCAAACATTTTCTTGGTGCAGTGCTTGATGAAGTATCAGAACAACCTTGCATGATTCGAGTTCGTGTTACCAGACGTCTTGGTTGAGGGCAGTTAGTTTAAGGGTCTTCACAGATTCAGTGTCCTTGGAGTGGCACAGGTCTTGATGCCCTTTGACAGTGTTCCTGCAGCACAATGTGGAGACCCTGCAGTGGAATTATGGTCAGGAGACTGGTCATGCTAATTGAGGTTTACCATGGTTTGCCTCAGTCCTTCGAGACAAATCGTGGAATAGTACCTCAAATTGGGCAGTGACCCCATCCATATCTCTTCCAATTCTCTCCTTTGATGCTCCGTAGTCTGATGTACTGACAGCACCAATAAAGAAATCGTAAATAAATAAATAAATAAATTCACAACGTGGGCACATTGAAAGGACGAGCTACTCCATGAATCTGCATCACAGATGATTTCCAGCTTCAGATATCTGCTGATCAGAAAGAAATGTGTCTGAGGTTATGTAGTGTGCAACTGAACCCTGAATAAGTAAAAAAAAAAAAGGCAAAGTTGTCTCTATGCTTAACCATGCCATGAAGACGTATTGGGGAGTGAATATATAAATTCACATTTTCTTGACCTCAGCACTAGTTGGCCACTTTACCCATGGGGAAAGAACCCCTGCTACCCATTTGATAGGATGTTGGGTGAGCCCCAAAACCAGTCTGGATGATGTGGAGAAGAGAAAATTCTTGACCCTGGCAGAACTCGAACTCTGACCCCTCAGTTGTCCAGCCCGTAGCCAGTTGCTATACTGACTGCACTATCCTGGTTCCACTGAACCCTGAATGATATTTACAAATTTAGTTTGTCTCTGAAAGAAAACATACTGTATGTCTGAAGAGTACACTCTTCTGGGATGTGATGCAATGCAGTATGGTGGTACATATGCTAACCACTATGCATTACAAGTTAAATAGGGATCCAGCATGCTGACTTGTTCATAGTTTGGCATAAGATTCAGTGACAAGTTTCAACAGAAAGGTTAGAATTCTTTGTATTAGAGGATATAACTGTACTTAAAATTGAGATCGAGAAATGGGTAATTAACTGTATCAGTCATCTTATATTCTAAAGTTTGAGAAATGTTGATGTAACATTTATTTAGGAGTTAAGATAGGTCAGTCAGTATAGCCACAGGCTGCAGGCTGGATGGCCAGATTTTGATTCCTGGCGGGGACAAGAGATATTTTACTTCTCCGCAGTGTCCACACTGGATCTGGGGCTCTTCCAGTCTCCTATCGAATGGGTACCGGGAGCTCTTTCCCTCTAAGTAAAGTGGCCAGGCTGTGAAGCTGACCACTCATCTTCATCTAGTGCTCAGGTGAAGAACGGTGGTGCCGTACATCTGCTCCCTCATGTGTCTTCATGGCATGGTGCTTAATTAATTAAGAAGACGGACAACTTTACGTTTTTTCCTTCTTACCTTTATTGTCCATGCATTGCACAGTTGAGTGAACACATGTTGGCTGAATGAGCCTCTGCAGATGTAGCGTCACAGTACTTACTTACTTACTCATGGAGCTGAGCCCTTCTGGAGGAGCCACCAATTCTGGAGCTACTCAAGAATTTCCCAGCATTTTATGGAACCCGAAGGTTCATTACCGTGTTCACAAGAGCCCTCCCCTGGTCCCTATCCTGAGCCAGATCTATCCAATCCATACCATCCCATCCTATCTCTCTAAGGTCCATTCTAATATTGTCCACCCACCTATGCCTTGGGCTTCCCTGTGGTCTCTTTCCTTCTGGCTTTCCCACCAACATCCTATACGCATTCCTCATCTCCCCCATTCAAGCTATATGACCTGCCCACCTCATCCTCCTTGATGTGATCATTCTAATTATACTTGGAGAAGAGTACAAGTTACGAAGCTCCTCATTATGCAGTTTTCTCCAACCACCTGTCACTTCATCTCTCTTCGGTCCAGATATTCTCCTCAACACCCTGTTCTCAAACACAGTAGTATTGGGAAATATAAATCTAACCATAAGAGTTACAACAGTGTCACTTTATTAAAAATGTAGGATTAATAAAGGGCTAATCCAAAGGGAAGCACAATAGATCATTGAAGGTCGCAGTGCGGGGGCCAGTTTTTATGGCCCACTCCTTACATACATACATACAACAATGTCATCACATTTTGTCAACTTCTAAATTAAAGTCTGCTTTTATCTTCATAACTGCCTGCATTTTTCAAACATTAAGACCCAGTGACATGTCACAGTCTTGGTCAAATAAATGCTGTCCACATTCTTTGACTTGGCCATGCATTGACATCCAGGTATACCTGTATGGTTTGTAGATCAAAGAGGGTCATTGAGGTGGGAGAAAGAGACAAGATCGTAGATGATGATGTCCTGCTGTCAGCATTGTTATGCCTTCTGCCACACCTGCAGTCAACAGTGTACAGCAGTCTGCCTCCAGTTGCAGTTGCAGACAGGAATGCAAGTGTGAGTTATCTTTCTAAGCTGCAGTATAGAGCGATTGTCTCACCCCATTCCTGCAGTGGGCTCATTTTGAGACCTCAGCGCCAAGGACCCAGTCTCACCCCATTCCTACAATTGGTTCATTTGAGGCCTCATTGCCAAGGGACTCAGTCTCACCCCATTCCTACAATTGGTTCATTTGAGGCCTCATTGCCAAGGGACTCAGTCTCACCCCCTTCTATAGATAGTATTTGTTGTGTTATCTCTCAGGTTACAGAGACAGTTCTTGGGTTCTGTGTGACCCGAGCACCTAGCAAGGTACCTGGAGCCGGCACAGGGGTGAGGGTTGCCCGAGGCAGAGTCAAGAAGGGATCTCTTGTTGCTCTTTATCCTGGTATGTGAATGATCATTTAACTGGAAGTTCACTGTCTTCTGTGATGTGATGGTGTGCAGTCTGGTAGAATATCACCAACTTTTTGGGGAGCTCCTGTGCCCATCTTTTTCACCATTCACTACCCTGTGTGACATCACTTGCCATATGCTAATTCTGTGTAACGTTAAATATTATTGGGAGAGTGGTTGCCATGTTGAAGTAGCTAGGGAATGCCTTAGGGTAGGATGATTTTGTCAGGGTAGCTTAACGTTTCACTAATGAGATCTTCTCAGGTACATGATCCAGGGGTTTATTGAGTTATGAAATTTGATCCACGAGTATTGTAGAACAAATCCAGGATTAGAGCTTATTGTTCTCATGAGTTTAAATGCTGATGGGAAACCCCATTTCATGCCACAGTCACCTTTACAGACTATAATACAATGTTCTTTACACATGCATAGTAATGATAATACCGTATTTAAATAATATAATTTAAATATATGATTTTAAGGCTTCAAATCCCAAGTGCCACCACCCAACTACCTGCTAGAAATGTCAGGGCTTCTTTGTGGTAAATGCAGTTGCACAAGAAAACCCAATATATTTCCTGAAATTACCTTCAGATGACAACAGGTATAGACCACATGAAAGCAAGTTTCACCCCCGCTAAACATTGGTAGGTTAAATTTTATGCCATCTCTTGATGGAAATACTGTACTAATTAATTAACAATGAGTCAGTCTCTTCAGCTGTAATTGTTATAATATAAGTACTCCAGACTGATCTAATCAACTCAAAACATGGAAGGGGTTCATTATAGGTCCAAATACACGTATTGGTCCATAGTGGTGCAGAAAGGTGTGAATATCCCCTACTAAGGTCATCCAAACACTGCACTGAGGCAACTTGCCGTAAATGCTTTTATCTGGAGGTCTCCTCACTCTGAGAACATCCAGATTCAAAATTTGAACATGATTATGCTTCCCACTATGAGTTTAGTAGTGACTGGAGGAACAAATCATTTTTTTGCTTTATACTAGCCTGCTAATTGGTTATTTCAGTGTGATTTCAAACAAAGTCCTCCCTGTGATCCTTCACCAGCTGTGTGAGTGTTCCACATGGTGAGACTTTCTGAGGATTGTCAAGTAGAAATTCCTAATTTTCATTTTTGCCCAGATGTGTCCCGTAGCCCAAGTCCTTGGCAGTGAATCTGTAGGAATTTTACTGCAGACAAAGAATGGGAAGGAATCTGCTGTAAATAAGTGCGATTCTTCTAGGTTCATTGTATGGTTCAACCCCTGACAGAATACCCAACAGTCTGCAAGCTCCCATTGCATTAGCACAGGGTAAGCACAGGACAAGAGCATGTACGTCACAAGTTCCAGTCATATCGCTGTACTCCAATAAACCAGTCAATGTGGTACCATATTCCTCTGAAATGATGGTGCCTTTTGATCATGCTACACAGCCTCACATCCCAGCGGACACTAACCTTCACATTGAGCACCTTAAGGATCTCAGAGTCATGATCTCCAGTGGCATAATGTTCATACCAAGTTTTGTGAAAATTGGTCTCTTTGGTTTATAAGTTGATTTGTGGGACATGAATAATGATGATTTATTTTACAGTCCTGTTGGTATCTCCACTGCCTCTGTAGTCAAGTGGTCAGAGTTCCTGGCTACAGATCCAGAGCTCCGGGTTCGATTCCCGGCGCTACCAGATTTTTTCTGAGAAGTAGTGGGTCTGGAGCAGGGTCTACTCAGCCTCGTGATGATAACTGAGTAGCTATTTCAAGGAAATAGCGGCTCCAGTATAGAAAACCGAAATTAACGGCCGTGGGGATCTGTTGCGCTAACCACGCGACACCCTCTATCCGCTAAAGTTGGCAGTAACCTCGCCGACAAGCGGCAGTCGATCGGTTGGTATAATTTGCTTGAAGACTAAAAACACCGAGTTTGTTTTGTTTATTTGTTTTTATTGGTGTCTCCAATCCTCTAGTATTGAGTGTAATGAATTGGATTGATTATATCCTGACTGAGGTACTATCCCAGAATTTTCTGTGAGGGACTCAGGAAGCCCACAAAAAAAAAAACACCTCAGTCAAGGTTGCCAGTGTGCTGACTAAGATTTGACTACAAATCTTGGGTGTTACTGCTACACCAGCCTGCCTAGTGGCCACATACTCTTATGATCCTACTTTGTTTCAGTGAGGAATGAAGATTTGCTGACAGTGCAACATATGAGTTACTGGACTGACTAGCCACATTCACAATAGCATGACACACATCTGTTTGATATTGAACTCTTAGTATTCGGTTGTTCATGCTTCACAGGAACATTGTATCATCGTGATGAGCCAGTTTTGCTGCCCTCTATTGGTAATGCCTTTGTACTGCGATGTCTGGATGGTATTCATGTCGATGGCAATGATCAGCGAATGTCCAAGTTGATATATAAGTAAGTATATTCATATATTAATCTGCTTGTCTTTTGATGTTATAGTGGACTGTTTCATTGCATTATTTACATTCAGTTGGTAGTTTTCAGTCTCTTCATGAAATTGACCTGTTTTCATAGAACCGAAATGCTTGTCGACACCATTTGATCACATTTTGGAACAGGGTTCACTGGAATAACCTCATGTATATTTGACTGGTGATGCAGGTCATGTGTGAGGCGCGATTCTGTGTGGCCTTATCAAGCAGGGGACCTCACATGGCTTACAGAGCATCCTGTGATGCCACTCAACATTGGCCAGTATGTCAACAATCACAGTCCAGGTAGGATGTAATGAATTCAGCAGAAAATTGTTCAGAGCAATATAAAGTGATAACCTAATGATAAAGTTGCTGTGAATTCAACTCCACAGAGCTGTTACTTTTAGAAACTGATAGCTGCTCACCTAGGGAAGAAATTCCACCCCCTTTCTGGAATGCCATGATTTATTATAATTTTCAAAGATAGTTTCTAAAGGGTTCTGATGATGGAGTGTAACACTCAGGATTACTGGGTTTTTGGACTTTGTCCATCGTCCAGTATTCTAAGGAACACAAAAGAACAATGATTTTGGTTAGCTCTTACTGACAGACCAACAAGGTAGTGTCTCCCACCCCCTCACCTAAGGGTGGAAACTGATCCAGTTCTTGAAGCCTTACGTTCTTTAGAATACTGGATGATGGACAGAGTCCAAAAACCCAGTAGTCCTGAGCATTTTCACAGAGTCTGCTACTGTACCTTTTCATGAGTCAGTCCACACCTCACCTTGTTTTAAGGACCAATCTTGGTATCCTCCCTTCTGCCTGTATGTCTATCTATAGTTGCTCTGTAATGGCCACAGCAGTACAGTGCTCTCTGGTTTGTTTCCATCATCCTATTAGTATTTGACTGGAAGCGCAAATTAAGAAGCCCATCATTTTGTAATTTTCTCAATCTTCCCATCGCTTCTTTTCTCGTGGGTCCAAATATTCCCCTCAGCACCCTGTTCTCAAACAGGCCCATTTTGTATTTCTCCCTCAGTGTGAGATATGAAGTTTCATGCCCGTACGAAACAAGAGTAGTGTTGTAGGTGGTTACCAACATTTTGGAGGCACCTGCTGCCTTCAACTTCAGGGTAGAGTACTGACTACTCTTCCCTGAAGATGGAGGCCACAAGTCCATACGAAACAATGGTAACTTTATACCGTACTATGTAGCATCACATCCCAGAAGACACTAACCTTCATACCCTTGCCATGATAACCTCAAGACTCACAACATTCTGTATGCATTTCATATGTCATCCATGCATGCTACATGCCATGACCATCACATCCTCCTCATGCAAATGTAGAAAAGTGCTTTCTGCCTTAGGAAAATTGACCATATTTTATTTTTTCCCCTTTTTATTGTACCCACTTATTCTGGCCTCTGTATTCATACCATTTTTATGAAGCTCAGCTTGCACTTCTGGCCTGAAGATAGCACCAGTTGTATAGTGATGTAATGTTCTGTCAGACTGTGGGGCCTTACAGCCTAGAGAACAGTAATCTTGCTGGGGAGACTCATTTTTCAACAAGTGAAAATGTTACTATCATGTGTAGAGATGACCCCATTTCATAGTAGACTGGGGTATGGACATGGGTCCTGGCAGAGGGAGTTGGAGTAAGCTAGCCACCACCCCCTCTCACTGTCAGACGTTCACAAGAAATAAGAATTTCAGAAAAGAAAAAGGAAATAGCCTAATATTAATACCAAAGCATCTGTGTTTGTGATTTCATCTGTTTCAATATACAGAGTATCCCAGGAGGAAAGGTCAGTATTCTGGGAGGTCATAGTATCAGTCATTCTAAGCAAAAAAAAAGTGTGTATGTGCATGTGTCCTATTCCGTATGGTTTCTGAGATAGAGCTATTTCACTGTACAGTACACTGTACAGATGAGCACGATGCTGTGTCCTCACATGCAAAGTGCACTGATGTTGACGGTGGAATTTTCGAAAATGTATTAGGTAAACTGTACCAACTTTGTCACTTGAACAATAAATACCGGTATTAGAAACAGTACGTAATATCTCTTTCTTATCAACAATTTTTGAAGTGTTAAGAATGGCTCAGCTCCATAAGTAAGTACAGTAAAGTAGCTTTATCTCAGAAACCATTCGGAATAGGACACGTACATAAGCAATTTTTTGCTTAGAATGATCAGTACTGTGATGTCCCAGAATACTGACCTTTCCTCCTGGGACAGTCTGTAGAGACTCCACAGTTTAAGAGTGATCCATATTCTTATACAGTGTGCACAGAGGCTAGTAAGCAAATATTTTGGCTGCCTGTGCCCCTCACTGAAACTGTCCTGGCACTAGTTGCTCCTCCTTGATAAAGATCCTGCCACTATCCATTTATCACACATCATTAGATACAAGATAAGATATACCTTATTCACTTTTTGACAGGTTGCCATTTTTCCCACAGGCTTCCCTGCCAATGTGGCTTACCAGGAGATCACTGTACCACTGTCATGCATTCCTCCAGAGCAGAGATGCTTTCTGCCCAATGTATGGTACAGCAGCGGTTCCCACTGTGACCACCTCCGACTGGTGGCTCTAGTGTCTATCGAAAACATTGAACAGGGTGACGAAGTGCTTTCAGCTTACTACACTGTGATACATTGAGTATATCTGATTGGTCCTTTCCCTGTTAGCAAACTGACTGAACCAGTGTGGCAGGTTTTTACTGGGACTTCCATGATCAGATCTGGCTGATGCTTAGAATTTGGTTCTCTGTTTCTTGTAATTATAAAGACGTCAAGAGATGGTACAGCCAGGAAAAATATTTCATTTCAATCTGTCACTGACATAGCAATGTTTCTTGGTTTATTTAGAGTCTCAGAAATGGCCACAAGTTTCTCATGTAGCCTGCAGTGCTAAGATATGTGACGGTAACAGTGTCAGCATATTGGTTTGCTTTGACCAATCAGCTCCATGAAGCTGACTGCTACTTAAGAAGCCTACAGTTGCTCAGCTACTCGAGATGTACTCACAAAATGTTTCCCAACCTGAAGGTTCATTACCATGTCCACAGTAGCCAGCTACAGGTCTCTAATCTGGGCTAGATTCACAGCCTCCCTTCCTGCTTCTTTAAGAACAATTTTAATGTTATCCTCCCATCTCAGTCTAGGTCTTCCTAGTGGTCTCTTCAGGTTTGACTGCATTGATTTTCTGTCCCATGTGTGCTGCATGTCCTTCCCATCTCATCGTCCTAGACTTGACAATCAAACAATTTACAAAGCTCCTGATTATGTAGTTTTCTCCATCCTGTTAATTCATCCCTCTTAGGTATTCGCTTAGTGGGGGATGGAGTGCAGCTGGGTCCACTTGGCACGGCGGCACACTGACTGACCTATTGTAGGCTGCCCAGGGTGATTATGATGATGGAGAATTTGGTGGAATGAAGATTCACAGGGGAAACCGAAGTACTCGGAGAAAACCTGCCCCAGCACCGCTTTGTCCACCATAAATCCAACTTGACCAGACCCAGGATTGAACCTGGGCCACAACGGTGGGAAGCCAGCGACTAGCCACTTGAGCTATGATGCGGCCTTCCCTCTTAGGTATGCCTCAACAACCAAAGAGAATTTATAAGTATAGAACTAAAGAAATACATGCATTAATTTGTTCTTTATTGTTGTGAAATAAACAATATGGTTACCCCACTTTGACCTCACTGTTCCCAGAACTATCCTCCCTCCTTCCTCCCTCCCTCCACCATCCTGTAGAGCGAGGCTCAGTCAGCAACATGTGGAGGTCACTCATAATGTGAAGTCTACATTCATAAATGTCGTGAGAGTGGCTCATGAACTGTATGGAGGCCAAACCTCTGTACTCAGCTCAGAGGTTTGCGCTCTCTACTGTTCCACTGTATGTAAAGCCTTTAATAAGATGAGTACTGTTTTCTGAGACATGGTGCCCTATAGTCTTGTAGAAGATAAACAACGTTTCACATTAACCTGCTGCCTCCGTCTTCTTCATGGTCAGATGTATGTTTAGCAAGCAGCAACCTCTGTGCTTCACACCTGTTGCATGCCTAGCATATTTTTTACCCTTAAGATGGAAATAGTACATTCCTTGTAAATCATCATTGAACTTCTACCAGACTGTACAGCATCACATCCAAGAAGTCACTTGTGGGAGAACATCAAATTAAAAATGTTTTTAATATTTTCAAGTGTTTCTGTAGAAGTGTGAGATTTGAAGGATGTGCCACCACATAGTACAATGCAAACACATGTACACTGAAGATGGAGCCAGCAGGTTCCTCTGAAACATCAGTAACAGACCACCAAGCTGTGTGTGTGTGTGTGTGTGTGTGTGTGTGTATGTGTGTGGTCAAATCCCCAAAAATGTAAGCTTCATGGTCACCCATGTGATTACCTCAGGTCTCAAAAGAGGCTGAAAGATTTGTCATGTCTTGACACTGAACAGTTCTGAAGAACTGACATGATTCTAGAGGTTACAGTTTGCCAACTGACCATCTCTGTGGAACTGAGTTCTTGACGAGCTAACACTAGTTCAGGTTCTCAAGAAATATGTACCACTTTACGGAACCTGAAACTTCATTATTGTCATCACAAGAGCATGTCGCTGGTCCCTGTTCCCCCCTCCCATCCTATTTCTTTAAGAACCATTTTAATATCATCCTTTCCATCTGCACTCAGTCTTCCTATTGGTGTCTTTTGCTCAGGTTTTCCTGTGAAACTCTATGCACGTATCTCCCACATGTGCTACATGCCTCACCCATCTCATCATCTTTGTTTGGTCATTTTAATAGTATATGACAGAGGAGTAAAGATTACGAAGTCTGACCAGCCTCCAGTTATTCATGCCTCTTCAGTCCAAATACACATATTCTCCTCAGCACCCTGTTCTCAAGGACCCTCAATGTGAGAGACCAAGTTTCATACCGATACAAAACTACATACAAGATTATAATTTTCTATATTTTAATCCTTAAGCTTCGGACAGAACATGGGAGAGCAGAAGATTTCAAACTGAATGGTAGTGAGTATTCCCTGTTAAGTGATGATTATTGTTTGAATGTAGATGTCCATATGCTTCATTTATGTGGCTTTATGTGTTGTAAAAAAAAAACGTGAAGCTCTCCCTGTAACAGGCCGTGAAGGCTCAAGGGTTGTGAGACGTTAAGGGTCCCAAATTACCTTGACAATCGGCTCAGAGATGGCGGTAAGGTTGCGCTTCACTCCCCAGGAAAATCATTTAATTAATTCCTGATACTCATTTCTGTTAGAGGCTGAGTAAACCCCAGGGCGGAGTGCGGCCGGAAGGATTAGGTCAATTGAAAAAAAATCCAATGACCTCATTGGGACTTGAACCTGCGACCTTCCTGCTTGTAGCATAGTACCTTAACCACTACACTACCGCATACAGCGGCTTTATGGATTGAAGGAACTGAAATTAAATAAATAATGCTGGGTGATATGTGTATTCATAGTTGTGCACAATACACATTAGTTACACTGCATAATGCATTTATAATAGGATCAGTCATTGTGCTCCAAGTGCATGGGTGCCACCAGGATTTTTCTTGGGCAACGAGAGAAAGGCTTACAAACTTTTACTTAAGCCATTTAAGACTGTTTTTACTGGTCACTTTATATTGTTGAAGATGGAAGGATATATATTTAAACCACATAATTTTTATTATTAATATTTAATATGTTTCTGTCCTTTCTTTAGCTTTTACATTAATCCAGGGAGGCAAGTGCCTAGTTTATTGAGCTCCTGTTGACACTCATGCCTTTATTCTTGTCTCCTTCAAACAGCATTGCAAAACAGATTCAGGCTGTGAAGTACATTTCACAAAGGAAGAAAGACACTAATGAGTATCTGCAACACAGTGTACCAACCCACTACTCTATTCTAATGTATATTGACATCTTTAATAAGACAGTTTTGTTAATTTTAACCGTAACATCAGCACGCCACTCTGGGATTGATTTTGGCATTGGCGGAAAGTCATTTTCATCAATCCAACCGTTAATAACGTGATAGACGCCCTGAAAGTCAATAGGTACATGTCATTATCTTTTACTGGCTGGGAATAGGGGATTTAAATTCCCTGGTACTACAGGGTTGCCAGCCAGACACATGACACTTAGCTGGCTGGAATTTCTACACACTCCAATGTTTCGTGAGAGACTGATTCATGTTACAATGCTGTGTCCCATACTATACAAGGTGTCCCGGGAAGAAAAGTCAGTATTCTTGGAGGTGATAGTTTCGGTCATTCTAAGCAAAAATGTGTTTATGTATGTGTCCTATTATGAACAGTTTCTGAGACAGAGCTGTTTCACTGTACAGACGAGCAGCACACCATGTCCTCACATGAGTTGCAAAGTTCATTGATGTTGATGGTGGAATTTTCGGAAATGTATTGTGTTAGGTAAACTGTACCAACTTTGTAACATGAAGAATAAATACCTGTATTAGAAACAGTACGTAATATCTCTTTCTTGTCAATGGTTTTTGGAATTGTATAGTGAAATAGCTTTATCTCGGAAACCGTTCAGAATAGGGCACATGTACATATACACTTGTTTGCTTAGAATGGCCGATACTGTGGCCTCTCAGAATATTGACCTTTCCTCCTGGACACCCTGTATGGCATCAAATGATAGGATGATCAATGAACAGTTAACTGGGATGGGTTTGGAAGGAAGCAGTCATGAACTGACCAAGGTATCAAGATACTGTTCTGCCATTTACTGGGAGTAACTGACAAAAATAACAGAAAGCCTCAGTTTGGATAGTGTCCTGGTTCAGACTGCAAGAAGGAACCTCCTGGATTCAAGTGTAGAATGTTAACAACTACACCAAACTTCCCCCCCCCCCGCCCCCAACATAATACAGTGAAACCATGAATTTGGTTTCATTAATCATAGCATAAGGAAATTGTTGATACATTAATGCCATTGGAAAGTAGTGTCAGAGGTTTAACAAAGTTATTAAAACTGGTGAAATTAGACATAGAGGCTTAAAGGTAAAGGTAAAGCTATCCCTGTAATAGGCCGTGGAGGCCCACAGGGTTATGAGACGTTGAGGCTCCCACATTTTCTAGATAGTCGGCTCACAGATAGCAGTGAGATTGTCAGCCTTATGTGCCAACTGCGCTTTACCCTCAGGAAGATTCCTGGTACTCATTTCTGTTAGAGACTGAGCCAAATGTATATGAATTTTTTAAGGTTTTCACCAGAGGCTCTTTCAAACCCGAAGGTGACCTGAGGTAGCAGTAGCTTAAATAGTGAAGCACCACTGGTCCCTCTGCTGGGCCACATGAATCCAGATTAACCATTGCATCCTATTTCTTAATATTAATTTAATATTTTATCTCATCTGTCCTTTGACTTTCCACTCTTTGTCTTTCAAGTCTTGCTGTCAGGGTTTTGTATGCACTTTTGTTCTGTCCCATTCTTGGTACATGAATGTATAAGGGGTGGACCTTCTTCACCCTTGCACTGTGACCACAGTGATCTATTGTGGCTGTTGATCTAGTCAGAACTAATGAATGGCATGTACTTGTAAATAGGTCTGTATTTGTGGCAACAAAATATAAATTAGAACCTTTGTACTTAAGGTTTATATTCTCATAGCTGATATAGGGATTAGGGATGCAGATCCATGTGGGATTACATTTACTTACCGCACGTATAGGGCAGGCTTTGGGAGCATTTCCAAACTTTGTAATTGTGCCAGCAAATTGAGGTTTCTGCTCAAGGAAATTGCAAAGTGACATTTTTGGAGTCTTGAAAGGTCCTGAAGTATAAGCATTGTTGTTTTCCTTCCTTAAAGCCTCAAATTCTACCTGAAAAAGAAATAAAATATTACATTTGTAAGATTGTTTTCAGTCACCCCATGTGTTGCTACAAGCTCTATCATCCTTTTATCTCTTGATTTAATGGCTGTAATGCACTATTTGGTAAGGGGCAGATTAAGAAATGGCTTTTCAGAACCAGGTACACTGCAGGAGAGCCTGGGGGAATGACCAGCACATATTAAAAGGAAATTATTGTGCTGTATATTCATGAAGTTGTTCCTGCATATATTGTTGGGAATGATGGTTATGGCATTTTAAGCCACTGGTAATACCTCGTTTAGAAAAACAAGGAGTCTGGAAGTACATAAGATGGTTTGGAAATATGGTAACATCACAACAGACATAATGGTCTTTAATGAAAAACATTCACTGTAACTTCAATTTAGAACTGAAATGAGTTTTGGGGTTTATTATATATTAGCATCATATTGGGTGTAGACTGTTCTATTCAGTTTTATCTACCTGTGGCTCTCTAGTTCTTCTGTTGGACCTTGGCTGCTTTTTCAGTTACTTAATCCTGTACAAAATTGCAAGGACACCTTGGACGGGGGATCAGTCTGTCACAAGGCCGCTGCCTGCACACAGTACAACGCGAAAACAGACTCCTGTGACTGTGTGTGTTATACTCACACACACACACAGTCACAGGAGCAAGACACAACACAAAGCACAATACACAGACGAAAGTAGGAAGAGTGCTCCGATAGAAGAGGATAGGTGTGACTCGCGTATTGAGATGCGATGTAGGGATAAAAAAATCCTGAACAGTTTTGATATTTTTAATATTTTTCAATATATATGATGAACATATATTTTAGTTATTTTAGTATGAAGACGGCAAGGCATGCAGTGAAGTAGTTTAACGTAAATTGAAAAGCACCTGAAGATGGCACCTTTATGCCGAAACATGTAGTGCAGGAGTGAAGAGTGAGGTGGATGAGTGTATGCACTGTAAGACGGCTGGAATAAATCATGGACAAAGGTAAAGTTGTTCGTGTGCTTGATTAATTAAGCACTGTACCTTGAAGACATGGGGGAGTGGAGGTATAGCCTCACCATTCTTGACCTCAGTACTAGATGGAGGTTAGTGGTTAGCTTCATGCTCTGACTGCTGTTCTACCAGGGAAAGACCCCAGTTCTCATTGGATGGGAGGCTGGGTGGGCTCCGAAGCCAACCTGGATGCTGTGGAGAAGAGAAAAGTCTCTTGCCTCTGCCGTGAATTGAACCCAGATCGTTCAGCTTGTCACTAAACTGACTCCCATAATAGTAGTTATGGCACTCCAAAAATAATTGCTCTGGAGATAAGTAGATGGTGCCTACAACTATATTCTAAAGGGTTCTGACGATGGCGTATAATACTCAGAATTACTGGGTGTTTGGACTTTGTGCATTGTCCGGTATTCTAGAAACTAGAAAACACATCGTTTCAGAAACTGGGTCTGTTTCTGACCTCAGGTTTAGGGGGAGACACCTCTGTTGGTTCTCTAGAAAGAGCTAACCTCAATTGATTGAGAACCCTTTACAATATAATAGATCTCATTGTACTCACAGGATGTGTCTTCAGTAAAGTTGCCTACTCAAGGTACAACAGACCCTCACAGATATTTGAGACAGGTAGTACTTATTAATTTTAATGCATTGTATCTCTCATATTCATGCAGTGTTCTTTTTCATGCTGGGCAGGAGGAGGGAAATGGGGACAGATTCTGTTTTCAAGTCAAATTTTCCTAATGTTGCCAAGCATTTTGATGGTGACAGAGCTGGTAGTCTGTGTGCTGTTGCACAAAGCAAAAGCAGTTACATGAGAGTTCTCCACTTTCAAGTCTGAAAAATTAACATATGACTCAAGATCAAGGTATTGTTTCTCCCAATTTAATCTAAAATTTGGTAAGTGCAAATATCTAAAGTCTGTTAGATTCAAATAGGCCTCCACACATAGTGTTCAAAAACACCTTTAGTTTCTTGAGAGGGAAGACAATGAAGCCATCACTTACTGTTGTTTGTGGTGGTAAGTCTTTGAGTATATGTAGTGTCCCATTGAGGATCGCCAATGAACTATTGTATTTTCCAACCTCCACCTTGGAGTCCTTGCCTATGTATTTGGAGGAAAATTTTCTTATCTCAGCATCTAGATACTGCAGTTTATAGTCTCGCTGAAAGAGAAACAACCATAATAAAAGTTTGAGTTCTTTATTTGTTTATGCTCTGACTTAACATCCTAAAGACCAATTTCAAAGTTAGTATGAGTAAAGAAGAGAAACAAAGGACAAAAATAAAGTGGTTATTATTTAGATAATAATAGTATTCCATTAACAAATTAGAATTATGATTGTGAGGTTAGAAAAGAAAAATATATGTTTATGCTGAATAGAGATAATATTTTAATGTGTAAGAAAGTAGTGTGGATATTATAAAATGTGATTGAAAGAAATAATTTTTGTTTTAAATATATCAACATCCCCATAGACATCAGCAGTAGCTGAAGCATGTCAACAGAATAATGGTTCTTAGTTGAAGAGCAAACATTAAACATAGAAAAATCCTTGAGATACAAGTATGAACTTGAACATTACAGTTTACAAATAATAATAAATTGATTCTTTATTTCTTTATATGCTCATTCAACTAACAAAACTAGCTCCATGGAGCTGGGGCCTGCAGTTGCTCCTTTAAAGATTTAACTTCATCAAATGATCCTACATTCAGAGAAAACCACAAAACGAAGCATGCTTTGGCTCTTGCCCCTTGCTCTATCTCCTATAGGGACACAGAGCTTCTTGCTCCTGTCACAGGATGCTGGGGTTTCCTTAAGAGGTCGAGTAGAAAGCAACTGATAACAGAAGGATTCCCTTTCTCCTCCTTAACAGTAATCATCATCAGCCAAGTTTTCACAAAGTTTACGTTCTACTGGATAGGTGCTGGGAAACAAATTTTGAAAGAGAAATGTACTGACTGAAAAAAACTTAATGACATTGGTGCTGTATTAGAAGCAAACGGGAAGAAGTTGTTAGGTCTTTTGGCTCTTCAGTGTGGATTTGCAATATGTACAGCTTGAATGGGCCTGCTTTTTCACGAGACAAGTTCCGAACATTATATGAGATCAATTCTATCATCCTTCTTCAATCAACTGACTGACGATGTACAATTTTGTGGACAATTCATGTAAGGTATGGTTCCCATAATATTAAAAAAAAAGGGATATTTCCATTTTTTCCCATAAAAACGGGACAGTTTGTAACAAATGTGGGACATGATAAAAATTAATAAAACACCAATAATACATTAACACTGAGAAATTTAAACATACAAAGATAAGCTCAAAATTGTTAATTTAGAAACACAGCACTTAAAAATATTCATACAAAAATGAAATGTAGGACTTACTCTGCAAAAATCTTCACAGATTCACCTGAATATTTATCACATTTCCAAAATTGTTCCAGAAACACTTTTTCTTTTGATGTTTGGGAATAGAACTCTGAACAAGAGAAAACTTTAAAGTGGGTATTCGCAATTGTTAAGGCTTTCACTGTTTTTATTTTCAGTCTCTTTTCTTCATCTGTCCATAATGCATTTATTATTCAGAAAATATGCTCAGTCACTGCATTAGATCCTGGCAGTGCCAAACAAATACTAATTAGATATTTAATATTCACAGCATTTATGTCCTTCTAAAGTGAGCCAACAATTCACACCACTTTTCGGTAACATGGTCATTTTTTTTATTCCACACTTCCAATTTCCTTTCACAATATTTTTGTACACATGAAAACTCATCAAACAAATCATCTTCATGCAGTAATAAACCAGGTACCACAGTCTTCATGAAATGCAGTTAACTTGTACACTCTTCCAGCTCACCTTTCCCTTCAGATTGGTCCAATCCATAGGTATAAGAAATGGCTATCACCGTTTCTGAACATATTCAGTGCAGATATCATAGAAGTCCTCTGCATAGTTACTAAATTTTACAATACTTATATGTCCTTTTTCTAGTTCTTGCAGCCGATCTCTCACAGAAGTTGTAAGAATTATGTCTTCCTACAGTTTGACTTGTCTAACAGTTACATCGGTGAGTATTGCGCTGCATTCTGTTTGTAATATGTAAATTTATTGTTGAGAAGTTTCCTCACTATAGTGGTTGTGCAGTCCATGAATTTCAAGCTATGGTTATGCACTGCAGTATGATATGAAAAGGTTGCTTCCTGTGCTGCTAGATATAACTGCTTTTCCATTTTACTAATATTCTTCATGTGTAAGTAGTTGAACGTGGTACCATAATTGGTTGAGGCACTGTGTTACAAGCAGGAAAGCTGCAGATTCAAGGTGGATTTTTTCAATTTACCTAATGCTTCCAGCTGCACTGTGGCCCTGGGGTCTACTCAGCCTCTAACAGAAATGAGTATCAGGAATCTTCCTTGGGTTAAAGGGCGGCCGGAGCTTAAGGCTGGCAACCTTAACGCCATCTGTGAGCCTATTGTATAGAGAAAATGTGGGAGCCTCGACGTCTCACAACCCTGTGGGCCTTCACGGTCTGTTATAAAGGCAGCTTTACCCTTCTTACTTTTTTACCTGAGTAGTTACCTATGCTGTTGCTGGAAGCTCTGTTTTCGAGCAGCCAGTTTTTTTTTTTTTTCGCGTGATTGGCGATGTCCGACCAACCACTACGTGCAATGCAAAATTTCGCGTTGCATAACGTGCATTCAGCATTCTCATTTACAGCTTTAATAAATGGATATTCACTCATAATACCGTCATTAATTCTGCACTTGCGTTTTGCCATCACTATACGGATTTAACCGATAAATCCTCGCAGGCTGTCACAACGGAACGTAACGGTCGACAAAGAATGCAGAGAATTATGCAGACGGAACTTTCGTTATGGGAGCAATTAAACATACTTCTGACATAAAGGCAAAGATACATATTGCCAAAAGAAAAACTACTAATTTATGAAATTGTGTTTTTGAATTAGCCACCAGGAGTGTTATCATGGTTATAGAAATGCCAATTGCAGAGAATAGCATCCGTTACCGATAGAAATTTATGTTACAGAAGAGCACTTAAAGGTTAAAAGTGGAATATTTGAAAAAATAACCCGAGGCATCGGGACATTATATGGGCAAACGGCTCCAAGGGGAACCCGAATTTAAGGTAATGCAAAAGCGCAAACTGCAAAAAAATTCTATCGATGCATTAGATGAAGTCTTCCGCGAACGAGATATAAGTCCAGGACTGTGACCACTGCGATCACCATTATTAAATCCTTATGTTTCTATAGACATTATCTCATAGTATGAGGCATGATTAGAATCAGAGTCTAGTCATTTCGAGACTCTTCTGTAAAATAATATCAGTTGAACTATAGCGGAAAAGCGGGCCTTGAATTATCGGCTACCACGGCTGGTGTGACCGATAAGAGTGCCGTGTTACTACGGCCACCAGTCTAAGGATAATCTGACCTCGCTGTGCCTGTTGCGACTGCTGTAACACCAAATTTATCAACTCCTGACCATAAAACATCATTTTATATTTTTCTAGCAACGCTATGTGTTGCGGTAGATGACTTCGCCTCACGTAGTATCGATAGCGCATGTGCAGGTGTCTCCTGCGGGTCCTGAATCAAAAGCATCGAATTTGCTTTGTCATATTTTTGCTGTTCCACCTCGCTGCTAAGCTTTGTAACCCGGTCTGTCATACTGATGGCCCATTTAAGCGGATTGTGTTTCAAGCTGCACTCCGATGGAACAATCATCAGTATTAGGGGATATTGCCTCCTTCTGTCTATTATTAATGAGGGTATGAATCCTCGTGTCATGCAGCAATCACAAATTTATAAGAGTTCTAACCAGTTTATGTACACAGACAGTACAGCTGAGTACGGTACTTAGACTCGCTAATTTGCAAGAAGCTGCAACGAAATCGCAAATGGCACTCACAAGAACGGATACATTTCTGTTTCCCACAAAGTAGACAGGAATTCTGAATCGCCGTGGTCTAGCCAATGGCAGTTTGNTACATGATACAAACTCCGTCTTCAGTGCAAACCATATATTGTAGGTCTTTCGTTTTGCTCTCCTTTACACACTACATGTTTCGGCCACAAACGGCCATCATCAGGTGTATTACTCACGTATCTGTCACACTGCACTTAGTTTAACATTTAAAATTAAAACACAGGTCTTCCTGATTGTTCCTTTCGTCGTTATTACCAAAATCTACTTCGTTGATGTCCTTGTTATTTACACACGTCAATTTTGATTTTTCTGAATTAGCACTTATAAAATCTTCGGTTCTAATTTTAAAATCTTTTCAATTTTCCTCTAAATTTAAAATTTAAAAATGTCAGGGTTACTCGCCCTATGTCTATAGTGCTGCAGCGGCTACTTCTTGTTTCTAGTACTGTACCGGTGTTATTCTGTCTAGTCTCTCTGTGTGCGTGCCGCTGCTTGTCTTTACTGCGTATAATAACGACGAAAGGAACAATCAGGAAGACCTGTGTTTTTAAATTTTAAATGTTAAACTAAGTGCAGTGTGACAGATGCGTGAGTAATACACCTGATGATGGCCGTTTGTGGCCGAAACATGTAGTGTGTAAAGGAGAGCAAAACGAAAGACCTACAATATATGGTTTGCACTGAAGACGGAGTTTGTATCATGTATCGTATGGAGTGCAACAGGATGCTTAAATATAATAATACGAATATATGTGTAAATGTAAAAATAATTTTAGAACATCTTTAATGCATTAACAGCTGTACATTTTAACATTGAGGTGCTGAATAACTTCCGTCTTTATTGTAATTGTAAATGTAATTAATTTTCTCTACGCGGACAGAATTGGTGAACAGTTGACATAACTGTAAAGTGCTTCCTCACGCCCCTGGCACCTTCTACATCTACATTTACATTTACATTTATTTTCACTTCATGGCTCCGTTCCATCTGTGATGGAAACGTGTAAATATTTTTATGCAGTTAAATTGGTCTTACTCGATGGTGGTGTTGTTTTGCTTAATGTCAAACAAGTGGACCGACCAGAATGCCTTCTGTTAAATCATTTACACCTGTGTTCTAGTGCAGAGATCTGGAATTTCAGGCTGTTCCATAAAATGTTCTTGAATGGCTTGAACATGTTCATAATCAAATCCCTCTGGCCGCTTGCTGCGTCCATGTTACTGAGACTAATCGGAAAACACTGCTCAATACTTGCAAACAGGTACTTACTGGCACGCCGGATAGTATATCTATATCAAATCCTGCTACTGGCTGGGGCCTGACAGCGGCCCCAAAAAGCAGACACAATGTCACCAACATGACACAACATGTGGTTCCTAAATCCAGACACCGCCGTTTATATGTGTAAGGCAACAGCTGTAGCCCATTGTCTGTGATCATGAGATGGCCGATATCAAACACCACCATTGAACGCGATTCGCCTTGCTGCGTCTAAACAGTTGAAGACGTCATGCACTTCCTGATGGGTCATAACTGGGTGTATTCCAAACTCGGAAAAATACCGAGTTCTTCTGGAAGTTGGGGTTTGAAGTAAAGTACATTGTCATGTGAAATCGTTATGCTGTGTCATGTTGAATCCTAGGGTGGAATGTATTGTTGGCTTCGCTTCTAAGGTAATGAACAGTTCGTGTTGCCATATTTTCAATTCTCAGGATATTGAAATAATTATTTTAATGTATGATTTAAACTTTTAAATATTTAAAATCCGTGGCTTGAGTCCGCAGCGAACTATACCGACCGAGCGACCGTTGCTTGTCGGAGAAGTTAGTGCCAACCGTCTCTGTGGTCTAGTGTTCAGAGTTCCTGGCTACAGATCCATAGGTTCTGGGTTCGATTACCGGGGCTACCGGATTTTTTTAAAGTAGTGGATCTGGAACGGGGTCCAATCAGTCGTTCAGAATTCTACTACGAATCTACCAATATGCTAAAAAAAAGTGGGCATTGCGTATGGTAGAGTCGAAATGCGTACAAAATTGGGGTCGGTAAACCTGAAGGAGAGAGAGAACTTCGAAGACATGGGCGCTTACTAGAGGATAATATGGATCTTAGATGAAGATAATGGGACGATGTGGACTGGATTGATCTGGCTGAGGATAGGGACCGGGGGCGTGCATTTGTGAACACGGTAATGAACTCTCGAGTTACACGAGGTGCGGAGAATTCCTTGACTAGTTAAGTGTTAATTAGGTTCTCAAAAATGACTCTGCTTCATGCAGTTAATTAACTAACTGGTTATTGACTGATAAACTGCTGCTGGTCCTCGCCAGCACAGTGATTCTTGGTTCTGAGTCCCACGGGACTTATGACCAGATTGTCACGTACAATGGTTGGCGTGACTAATAATAGTGGGTTCTGAATTTTATGATTGGATTTATTGGCACTGCTTTACAATTACAGTCAATTGTAACACCTCACACATTGAACTCCTTCTGAGCAACGTCTGTCTGACAAATCTCTATGAAGGATCTCTAACTTATCTCTCACTGCTTTGAATGTCAAGTCAGAGTCAAAGTCACATTGTGACTGACGGTCAGTGAGTCAGTAAGTCTTGGTGTCGAGCCCCGGGGCTCTTGACAAGATATTTATTATTACTGTTTGACAGTTACGGTCTTGTTTTCGTGGGGCGCCTTCTCTGACGAGAGGACGGGTCTGTCTTTCTATATTCTGCTGGCCTTTGCCAGCGCAGTCTTTCTCGGGTCGGAGTCTCTTGGGACTTGTGACTATATATTACTGTCCCAAATTTGAGACTTCCCTTTTCGTCACCTCCTACCACTCGCAGGGTCACGGTGGCAGCATTCGACCCCGCCTCCACACGGGTTCTCTTCTTGACAGACAGACGTGGACAGAATGCAGCGTTTTAGTGTGTTAAAGCAGGTGATTCATAAAATAACCTCAAGGCTTTAAAGGGTCAAGAAGAAAGTTTGCTTTTTGAAATAGCGGTGTTTTGTATAATTAAAATGATAGATAACATACGTGTGTTCGTGAAATAGCATTTCAGTAGCAACGTTTTCATTTTTATGAGGGTTTGTATTTTTTGTTTGTTTTTTTGTTCTCTTTATTTTGTAGATCTACGTTTCTCCGAAACTTCGATGAACTTACACCGGTCTACACGGCGTCAGATCCCAGATGATGGTACTCCAGTTTCCATATAGGAAAATTTCTGCATTTAAAGTTTCACTAAAAAAGTCGATTGTTTTGTAGGACACATGCATTACTTTTGTGGACTGTTCGACTAACATTGTGTTTCGTTAATGTTATCAACAGATGGCATCACTGTATATCATTGTTATATATGAATAGCATTCAGCCATCCGGATATAACAAGAACGCATATGCCATTGATTGTACAATTCCATGGGAAGTGCAGATAAGCATGCATACGGGCCAAACCGTGTGAAAGCGGATTTTGCGATGTACGATATGTATCTCTCCTATGGAATCACGAAAAAGCCGCTTCTAAATGAATACGGTCATGTGAATAAGTCACAAATAAGCACAATTTACATAGGTGTTTATTTTTTATTTTAAGAAACGTCACTTCCAATTTTGGTAAGACTTGTTAAGTACAATAAACTCATGTATGTAATTATTTAAAATTCATAACCTTGTGTATGTACATGAAACGTGTTGTAAGCATGAAATTTACCATTGTCATTACGCAATGGCAAGTTACCATAACAACGAATTTTCTAACAATGACTCGTTGAATGAATGCTGTAGTAGGTCACGAACAAGGGAGTAGTGTTTTGTGTGTGTCGTGTCTATTCTGCGAATAGTGATAATATTATAGATATAGATATGTGAGGTGTAGTATGCTATATGAAGGCAGCGGTTTGCTGTTGGATATTAATGCGTAATATTCGTGGGAGTTTACGTTCAGCGTCGGCCTCGATGCATAATTCGGTAAAGTGTGGAACCTGAAAGGAATTCGGGATGAAGCAGGGGAAGTACGGGAGAGCACAGAAACTTATGTAACGGGCGATTATCTTGCCGTTGGAATTCTCGGCTAGGGTTGTACTAGTGTAGGGGAGCTGGGATAGCTCAGTGGGTATAGTGACGGAGTACAGGCTGGACGTTCGGGGTTAGGTTCCCGACAATGCAAGGGATGTATCTGTACTCCACAGCGTCAAGACCGTCTGTGGGCCCAACCAGCCTCCTGTCTTATGGGTACCTGGGCCCTTTGGCCTAAGGTAAAGTGAAGTTGACCACGCACCTTCAACTAGTGCCGAGGTCAAGAATGGTGGAGCTGCACCTACATCCCATACGTCTTCATGACATGGTGCTTAATTAATTAAGCACAGGGAGAACTTCACCTTTAGTATATCCATGTTAAGTGAGTCTCTTGTCACAACGGCATGGCGCGTTCTCAGTTTGCTGGTGGAGGAGACGGCCTCCAGATATGGAAGTTAGCTGCGAATATATTGAATAAGCAGTCACGGACAGCTGACAAGGGGTACTCATGCAGCTTGCGTGTTGGGCATGGGACTAACGACTCCTCACCGTAAGAAATAAGTTTGTTACAAAATGTCACAAAGGACCTCGGACTTGGAGTTATTCTTTGCATAGACGACCTAAGCAAAAGAAAATGGATATGAGATTTGGTACGTGGAATGTAAGAAGTCTGCCTGAAGCTCAGGACAGTGGCGAAAGAGATAGCAAAATATAAGTTAGATTTAGGGGGAGTAGAAGAGGTCAGATGGGCCAGAGGTGGCACCAATCAGCAGGCGAATATACATAATTTTAATGAAAAGGGGAATAAAAATCATGAATTTGGTACAGTGAGAGGTACCTACACTTTATCTGGAACCGCTTTCTCTGCTTGTGTATGAAACAGTTCCCCATTGTTGGTCGCATAACAGTCACTGATACAGTGATTTAATGTTCATAAGAACTGATTAGCGACGACCGAAAAGTTTATTTCGAAAGTTCCGCAAATTTTCTGCATCTGAGATCTTTTAAATATTTAAAGATAAGCAGCGCGCGCACGCAGGGAGCCTGCACAGAACAATACGCGAACGGTGCTGAAAGCAAGAAGGAGCCGCTGCAGCACACGTAGACACCGAGCGGGTATCCCTGTGGTTTAAATTAAATTTTAAAAATTTTACATTAAAATTCTAAATCAAATCGACGAGTGTATATTAACAGAGATTTTAAACATAACCGACTAGCTCAGCAAGGAGATTCTGGTATATCGGGACCGACTGAAACGCAGTAATGACAATTGAGAGAGCTGGTGTTTTTAAATTTTAAATTACGTGCAGTGTGACAGCTACGTAAGTGAAAATACACCTGATGATGGCCAGTTACGGCCGAAACATGTAGTGTAACAGAAGAAAGACAAAAAACTACAAATAAATTGTTGCATTTACGACGGTGTTTATATTATACATGTAGAAGTGTGGAGTGCAACAGGATGCTTAAATATAATATAGTAAACAATGACCGTTGTGATGTTCTGTTGCCAGTTGAAAAGAAGGCACACTCAGATACTTCGGATTTGAGTTTCTCATGTCGTTGAGTGTGCATATCTTGTGCGTTGTAACGCTGCGCAGTTCGACAGGAATGTACAGACGTTTCAGAAGAATGAATCGCTCCCGTTTTCAGGGTCGGAATGTAAACCAAGCAAGGGACTAGCAACAAGAAGACTCTTCTTGCAGCCTGCTTCTTGCTGGTTTGTTTTTTGGACTATTTTTCGACCTTGAAGATGAGGGCGATTCATTCCTCCGAAACGTCTGTGGATTTATATCGAGCTACACGACGTTACACCCTTCAGAGATTTAATATGTTTGACGAAGTCTGTTTTCATGCTCAAATTTTGCCCAAAATACTTCCTTTAAATAAGAACACGGCTTAGTTCATACTGTTAATGTTTCAAGTTCCGTATTTATCTCTTTATTTATACAGATTGTTTTTGTTCCATGGCACTTAAATTTTTGTCTTTGGTAGGAAAACAAGAAAATCGCCTCGCCCTGTCTTGCCTATGTGTCAATTGTTTTATCTTTCTAGAAATTTATTTTTCAATTTTCCAAAAATAGACAGTAATTTTAAAAGTTCACAGAAATGCAAGAATTTGTATTCTGCTGAGAAAGGTAGACCATTATCTTTCGCAATTAATAATTTACTGAATAAAAGTGAACATTCAAATAACCGGCATTGGCCATTAGGATAATCGCTGAATGAACAGTGGCAGTGAAAAAAGTACGAGGTTGGCAGCACTGCACTCAGATTATAAAAATGAATACTCGGAACACTACTTGCACCGTTTATGGTTGTAATGGAACAATTAGTTTCCGCACAGGTCAGTTATTTATGTTAAT